CATTTTCAAAGTTTTAGGTGGTCCCAAAAATGTGTCTTCATGCTAATTATATTAAAAGAGAAGCTAGCTAAATAGGTCTAGTTTTGAACCAAACTCACTACTTCCTTTCCCCCACAATCAAAACCCCACACATTTGACTAATCTTTTGGAGACAAAACCCATAGATTTTCACAGTTCAGTTTTTGCAAATGTGAATGCTCTATTTTAATTGTACATTTAGACTTGGAGCCCATTAATGCAAGCTTCTGAGTGCTTTTAATTTGTCTTGTCTTTTTTCACTGCATATACTGTGTAGTCTGACCTTTCTTTGGGAGAAGATATTGTTGGGAAAAGCTAATTAATTGTATTTGGAACACTCTTCTAAGATGCTTGTCTCAAGAGGATATAAATTTATGGAATTAGGATTAAAGGAATGTCTGTGTTTGTAGATTGTATTCTAATATAAAGCTGGTTAATTTAAAATATATTAGCTTTGGAACTGGAATCCTCATAAAACAATACATGCAAAATTCTTGGCTTTTGCATCTACACAGTTCCCCAAGTAAATTAATTTCTACCAGAATCCATATGATATGCTGCACACTGCAGTTATATGGGATAAAGTCCACTTGGCTATCAGTTTTTACGTTAACCTCTACAAAGAAAGAAATCACCCTTACTCCGAAGTTCATGGAATGCTGGAAGGATATACCAGCTACGTTTTGTCAATATTTGCTCTGATTTTAAACTCTTCCTTAGGTATGTGTTATTGGCCACTATCAAAGTCAGGATACTGCGCTCAGTGTAGCTTTAATCCTATCTTCCGAAGAATACTGTTGTAATAGTATGTTGAATTATTTGGACTTTATTCATGCATTAATCCACACCATGAAACTCTTAAGGCACTATGATGTAATGGAAAGTGACAATCCATTTCAGAGAAGGAGGAAAATTCAGCCAGAAACAAAACCTAATGCTCAAACAAGCCAAGAGTCTTCTCCCATTTGAAAACAAAATAAAAGAAAACTTAGCACACTCTCCATACTTAGGATATATAATAAGTTATGTGAAAAACATCCAAGAACAAAAATGGTTATTCAAAACTTAATATCTTAAAGCACCTCCTAAATAGAAGCTATGGAATTTTATGGTACATTATTGCAATTGTCTATCTGGCATGTATACAGAAAACAGAAAAAAGGATCAATAGTTGCTAAGCAGACAAAAAAAGAGCTAAACCTTATTTCCGAGCTGTATGGTTCATCAATACTAATTATAACTTATTTTATATCAAGGGTGATAGCTTGTTCCATACACGTGTTTATAAAAAACATGTGTATTGCTTCCGTGTATTGCTTATATCTTTTTCTGTCTTTACTTTTAAACTAACTTTTCCCTTCTGTCACATCTATCTTTACTCAGATCTGTGTATAGTATATGGCTTATGTGCAAACACTTAGCAGATGAAGTACCACACAGCGAATGTTTAAGCACTTCATCTGTCCTTGAACTCCGTGGGACTACTTATCTACTTATCTCTTACTTATATTCGTAGAGGTACTGTAGGTTTGAGTCCTTAAACTGTAAGCTCTGAGACAAGGTTTTATGCATATTACCTCGACCGTATCTGGGAACAAACCCTAAATAAATAAATAAACAAAAAATAGTAATAGTTTAGATTTTGTTCTGTGTTGCTTCTGTACAAAATATGGGCTCAAATCTGTATTAAAATGGAATTTTGGAAGTAGTGCACACCAAAACAGACCAACCTCTGTAGCTTATTTATATTTTAAAAATACAAAATGAGGCGATAGGTGCGTAAGACATTTTCGGCACTTACCTGCTTATTGGTAATGAAAATCAAAATGATGACATTAACATCTCTTTCAAGTCAGCTAACTGATGCTGCAGCATTATGAGTCATCTTTTTAACACGGAGCTGCTTTTTTAAAAAAAAATATTTTAATGGTGATAAAAGGTACGAGGGTGATAGGCCTGCAGATCTTACTCTATTTACCCACAGAACATAGGGAAAAGCAGTAAAAGTTCAGAATTAATTCTATGAGCTAGAAAGGTGAACTGTGTATTTTTTCAAATGCTTGAGTTCTCTGCTGAAACCTGCACATGAAGGCAGCGGTTTGAGATATTCACTCTGTCTGCTGCAACTGCATTGAACACAGTAGTGTATTGTGTAAGCCACAGAATAGCTGACAGAGTGACAGCATTTAGTCATCCGATGCCTGATCTAGTCTGTAACCAGAAACTTCTATGAGAAGTTCTTTGCCTGACCTGTGTTAGGACCCAAGCCTAGCAGAGCTCCTAAACCCTTCCCTTGCACTTGCTGCACGGCTATGGTGCTGCCACCACCAATGGTGACGCTCTGAAAAGACCATGACAGACAGACTACATCAGAACCATCCGCATGCTTTGGGGTCAGGCTGTCCAGGACAGTTTGATAAGGGCCTGTATCCTTTCCCTCAATTTAAAAGTGTAAGCTAATTGGGGATTTCCTTTTCGGAACACAATGCTTCAGTTCAAGCCCGTCTTTCTTCTAGACAGTAGGCACCATTGCAGCCTATGGCTGTAGGGTAACTCATTCTGTGCTTCGTCAAAGATTATTCTGGTGGATGAGGACAGTTGCCACATCATATGCTGGTCTTGAATGACTGTTATGAGTTCAGAAATGGAGAGGGCAACCGGAGGCACTGTTGGTACTCTGCAGCACCAACACACCACTTGCAGAACCTCTCTTCCCATGGTCAGTGTGATTGCCATTTGTCTATAAACCTGGTTCATTCCTGATTCCTACAGATTACTGGACAATCAGGTCAGTGTGGCAACACTCTCATTTGCTTGGTTGAACTGCCACATCATCCAGGTCTTCCATCTCCCATGTTACTGCCAAGCTGAGGTCCTCAAACGTTCACATGGCATAGAGTCTCATATTGTCTCTGTATAGGCAGGGAAAGAAGAGCTATGAATGACGTATAGATCTTCATTTGGGTCCCACCCCAAGGGGCTTTGTGATTATAACTCACTAATTCTGCAAGTTCTTCTTCACAAGTTCAAGGATGGTGAACATTGTCATTGATGATTTATGGGCTCTGTGATGCAGTCTACCAAGTAAGTATGTAACGTACGTGGTTTCTAGAGCTTGGGCATCTTCACTAGGGACAAAGCACACTCTCTTCTCTATAGGGATTGTGGTCATTGTCAGCCTTAGAGTATATGTCTGCTGTTGATATTACTGCTTATCGCTATTCCTTTTCATCATGCTGCTCTACTCAGTGTTGGTCAGTCAGGCCCTGAGCTCTTGCAGCTATAGTGCAAATGTGTCCGCAGGTGCCTGGCTGCACCAGACAGACCATTAAGGGCAGTTTCCGTTGTGACAATTATAGTTGCCACATAGTACCATGGTTGTCAGGTATGCAGTAATGAAAACATATTAATGCAGCCATAACTTGTCTGAAACTTCATGGAGCTTTTCCAATTTGAATGGATGCTGCAGAACAAAGCTGTCCAGACATTCTTGATGCAGATTAACATTTAATCTGTGGGCAGTGTGGATGCTCCAAGATAAAACAGCAGTCCAAGTGCACACCATTTCCCATCACATAGCACAGTTGCTAGCAGCACTTTATCTACACTTAGTCCTGGAAGTTGCAGTGAGCTATTCTTGCAGCGCCTGCCACTGATGGACCTGGTTATCCAAATAGCACTGCTTAAGCCAGGAGCTCCATCAGGGAAATGATGCTTGGTCCTTTTGAGCTGTTCACAGTACTTCTTGGTCTAAGAACTGAAGGAAGCAGTGGAACAACGGAAGTCAGTATCTCTCCATCAGAGGTACTTGTGGAGGCAAAGATGTTTGTGCTTGGTAGTGTTTGGAGAGGTACAATTCACTGGAGGTTCCGCAGACACAGCCTACTGAGACACCCACATTTCAAGGACACTATCTCAGTGTAAATACATAGGCTGCAGTCATTCCCTTAGTGACCATATCTGAGAATTGCTTGGTGAGGAGCAATGGATGCAGTGACTTAGTACCTGCTGGCAGACATGTGAACCCAAAAGAAAGAGCATAATCCTGGGGATAGCCTGAATGACCTGACAGCAGGAGCATGGCACGTTTTTGGGGGAGCATGGTACTATTTTTATGGTGTGTAGGGAGCAGAACATCACTCACCTGCTTACCTCCAGATGGAATTCCTTGAGAGGAACAGGCACCCAATCAGCCCTGTGACCGTGCATGATGTGACTGGGTGTAACCTAGGCGGTGACATACTTTCTTATCAAAATAAGCACCTGTGGTTGCTGCCTTGCAAACAAAGCATACAAGTCACTGTACTTTGTCCTATGGACTTCCACTTTCATTCTGTATTAAATAGCCCAGAGAATTGTGGAGCAGTTCTAAAGATCTTCTGTAGCTCAGTGTAGATTGGGAAACTATATTTAAATGCCACCCTCATGTTTTTTTCAATTTCTTGACGTTGAATAAGCACTTCTTGTCATCTTATAAGAAAACAACCTCTGGTAGATCATTTGCTGTCTCTTCTTGCTGCAGCTGGTGAGTATTCCTGTCAGCAAAGTCAAAGGCATGAAAGTGGCATTTTTAAATCTCGATGAAGGTCCTTGTCTCTTCTTATGTGTGTACTGTATCTTGCCAAAAGCGCACGTAAATGAGGTGGCTGTTCTAAAGCTTGCTGGTCATGTGTTTTTGATGGGGCAGGGTATGCAGGTATTAGGATATGACCGAAGGGGTTGGAAGGGTGTGTGAAGTCATGAGGCCTCATCGTTTGCAGGATAAAAAAGCCTAAACAATCGAGATCTTGCATAGATTATGCCCGTGCAAGGGCAGGGCCCCGGTGTGAACTATTCTCTAGTCCCTGCCCATATTTCTCCACCTGAGAAAGAACTTATTTTGTCCCAGAGCGGAAGCTGAGTATAAAATAATACAAATGCAGTGGTGGAAGTTCAGGGAGCCTGTGCAAGACATGTCACACCATCACGCAGCACTGTCCGAAATGGCTACTTCGGAAGTGGTAATTGCTTTCTTTGTTCTTAATATACTGGGAGAAACTAAACGTTGTGTGTCTTTTTTGCAAGTAAACAAGATTGCATCAAAGATACATTGATTCTATCATCAGTTTCTCATCCTGACACAACCTGCAGGATCTGGAGTATAGCTAGCTGCTTTAAGTAGCAGAACGAACACTAATGGAAACTAATTTAAGTTTCTATTTGCAGCCCTCATCTAAAGGTGCATAAACTTCAAAGGCAAATACCCTGTGTTTCAAATGTAAAGTTAAACCTTAATTTGCTGGACGAGCCGCTGTCTGAAAATACACAAAGCACTTCCTCTTTGGAATGATACACAAAGCACTTCTGTGCTTTGAAATGATTCATAGCAGATGGGGAGAAAAAGGATCATTAATTGATTCTTCAAATGAAACATCACAAGTATAACTGAGAGACCCGGTTGGAAAAGCAAATGGAGTAAATTTTCAGAGAAGTTTGTGCTTTTCACAGAAGTCTCTTGGCAGAATTTCAAATCAGCTCGATGATTAAGCAGCAGGTCATTTTAAACCATGTTTACGTTAACAAACCTCTGTAACCATATTCATACTAGGGCAAGGCATAGTACACAAAGGGTTTGTTAGATTATAATTAGTTTAGATTATTTTCCATTATGTATCAGTAAAGCAGCCCGTGGGCTGGCTCATGTTTCAAGTTACCCTGCTGTTCCTGTTAGTGCAGCAGTAGCTTTGGGTAAGCTATCTGCGTGACAATATCTAAAAAAACCTGCCCAGCAGTGTTAGTTAGTGACCCATGCACTTTTTTGGCCAGTGAACCTGTACATGCCACCACCCATTCTTATTATGAATCTTTAAACTGAAAATAGGACAAAAGTGATATAAACAATGCAAGACTGTATTTCATAAGAGTCTTTGGGCTCCTTGCAAGCAAGTCTCTAGGTTACACTTTTTCAAAGTCACTGCATTAAACCGTATTCTTATTAGTATATCAGTACCCCTGGAGAAACAGACCTATAATCTGGTATTAACTACTTGCAGTCTTCAAGCTGACTTGTTCGTTACTCTTATCAGCAGTACTTTTTACAGGCTGTTTATTCTCAGGTGATCCATTTTTAAAACCACAGAAATACTATATGTTTTTAGTTTTATTTCATGAATTTACTTGACACGTGTAAAGACGAAGCAGTCACACTGACACTTCTGAAGTGTTATATAATTTTTTGATTCATTTTTATCTGGTGTGGTTTAGCACAGCAGTATGGACACACCCACTGCATCTCAAAGTGTAATCTTTCTGACACTTAAATGACATTTTTCCATTTTCTTGGGTAATGAATAATTTACAATGTGGGCCTGGAAAGAGTCTATGCTCATATTTAAATATCTGCGAAATTTACAGGTTCACTTTTTCATTTTGAAAGCTCTAAGGTAATACAAAATGTTTCACTTATTGCACTTCCCTCTCTTTCTCTAAAGAGATTATGCTCTGCAGGTTGTAAAAATGCTTTATAAACTGTAGCTCAATCAACAATTTAATGTAAAGATACATAACTTTGCAAGGCTAGTTGGTGGTTCTGCTGTCAAAAATTAAGGAGGAAATAATTAGGAAAACTATGCTTAATCCAAGCCTATCTGTAACATTAAAAGAGGAGATATCTCTCTCTCTCTCTACAGGTAGGTGTAGATATTGAGGTTTAGAGGAGTCTGCATCTTACAAGTCTAGGAAACCATTTGTGTATTTATTGTGTTTTATGATTTCTGAAGTTAGATTATTTTGTCTCAGAGTTAGAACAGGAAAAGCTCATTTAAGGTGGAAAATTGAGAGAGAGTTTAAGGTACAACTGAGAGGTACAGCAAGTATATAAATTAAAAAGAACTAGTGAGAGGAGAGAAGGCATCCAAACTCCTGTATTGCCAGAGGATGCAATCAGACAAACCAAGGAAGCAAGCCCTATGAAGGTCAGTCCAGCTTGGAGTTGTGGAGATAGAGGTCTGAACTCAGGGAGGAAAAAGGCGGAGGCAGAGACACTGTAGACAAAAGAAAGAGGGAGGAAATAAAAAATAGCCAGGACGTGCAAACAATAGGGTGGTGCAAAAAGGCTACTCTGTCCATCATACAAGTCATCTGAAAGACAAGGCAACCTCTTTATTAAATCTTGTCTGGAACTGCATTTTTCTTGCTTCATGTTGGGTTGGAGATTATTTGGCAAAGGTGGATGGTATTGGTCACTTTTTCCAAGCATTACTGTTGAATATTTAACTCTTGCCTTGATATACAGTAACTAACTTTGTTACCAGACAAGGCTTAAAGATAGAAACTAGTGAATCTCTAAGTGATGTGACAGGCAAGGGTACGCCTCTTGAGAGCAGCAGGGTTTTTAACAGGATAAAGTAACATTCCTTTCAATATGCCTTTTTCCTAGCATGAGTTGTGGGATCAGGGGGAAACAGAGCATATTCTTTACAATCAGTTATAAAGATGAGGCTTAGAACCAGTCCTGTTCTAATCACCTCAACAAAGATCAGCACCTCATTGCACAGTCACCCATACTCAACTAGCGTGCTGAGAACAGCATGTAGAAATTGTTAATGACTTAGAGCTTCACATGGCAACAATTGATCACAATTTCTGAATAAAAAAATATTCACCCTCCAAATCTGGCCTTCCTGAAAATTGTTGTTGTCTAGGTAATGGGATATTTTGCAAATCAGCTGGGCCAAATTAATCAGGCAGTGTGTATCTGCTTAACTCTACTGGAGTGATGCTACGCAGATATATACTAAATGAAGATGTCGCCTAACAGTTTTACATTACTTAATAAAACCAGACCCAAGATCCGTTTAGAACTTTTACCAAAGCTGGTACATATCTGTACTTCCTGACTGCCACTTTCATGCAAAGAAAAGTTTTTTCCTGAATATATATATCTTTTCAATATAATGTCATTTCAATACAATATGGTTTCTGACAAGCTGATTCGTTATTCTGAACTACTGATACCATTAAGGTACAACTGAGAGATAGAGCAAGTATATAAATTAAAAAGAACTAGTGAGAGGAGAGAAGGCATCCAAACTCAGATAACAGTAAGCATTGTCTGATCACACAGCTCCTTACATCATTCTTATAGATCATTCTTGTACATTATCATCTCTTTCCAGCTTTGAAGTTCCATCATCCTTGTCAAGATCTAGAAGTGCAGCTCAGGGTATGGCACTGCCCACAAATCAATAGTGGGTTAGTGCCATTTTAATGTGTCAGAGAGCAATATATTTTAATATTTATTCATTTAAGTTCAGTATGTAAAACTCAAAATACACATGAAATACCTTGAATCTTCATGTAAACCTCTAAAAAGAAAAGTATTTATTGTGCTTCTAATGTGGAACCAAATGTTTAAGAAAAGGTTCTTTAAGAATGATCTTGACACTTCAGTGCTATGAAGCTTTACAGTATTGGTTGTTGGTATTGTAAGTCAGGGATGTGAGCAACATGATTTAGAACAAGGGTTTTTTCAGACTGGGTGCTTTAAGTATGAAGTTTGTCATTATGCAGCCAGTAAATGACCTGATTTTCAAATGCTGGTTATCCAGGACTATATCTAGTCTGCTTTAGAGGTTCATTCAATTAAAGGCAACCCAGACTGGAAAGCCAGATCTTAGGGTCCTTAGTGAGGGGACACCATGTAGGATGTCTTCAGGCACAACAGCCACCTCATAAGCTCTGTCAGCATCTTCTCTTAAGGGCTTTTCAACATTTATCCTGCACCCTGTCTTATTGCATCATGATCAAACATACTTCCATGAGATAACTGACACTTACTGTTATCTGAAACTATCTCAGAACAAAATGAAAGGAGTTGAAAAACCTCTGCCAGGGGACAGATCCTGATAACTGATTAACAGCTGTACCAGACCATTTAGTTAGAGTGCTGCTTGAGGGCCCCATGAAGCCAGTCTGTACACTTCATTAGGCATCCTGATGGGACAAAGTGGAGAAGATGCTGTAAGACCTGAGTTGTCTTGGTGCTTCCCCCATTTCAAACAGGCTGTGGTCATGATGGCTCCAACGATTTTCCAGGAGGTCCTAGAGACGGTTGGGGAATCTAAACCTGACAATGCCCCCTAGCACAGGAAAATAACATATTGCATAGAAACTATCCATTCCTGAGGAAGTCAAATAGCAAAAGCTAGGTTTTACTATGAGCATCTAGCAGTTTTTATCGTCTATCCAAATTTAGCAACTAATAAAGTAAAACAGCAGCATAATCTATTACTGATATTGTATAGCAAATATAGTGGTCTAAAGTTATAACTCAGAATGTTAATCCTTTGGGATTTTCCCTATAGTTTTACAAAATCACCACAAGAACTTTAGTGATAGCAGATGGTCGTAAGGTGAGTTTTCTCTCTCATCTGAAAGAGATTAATCAGTCTGCTTTTATACAAAGTTAATGTTTAAATTTTTCACTTCCTAACCAGTCATCAACAATATATGTTGCTTTGCAGCTAGGGGCTAGGTTCACAAATAGGAACTACAAGCCCAAGTGTTTCTGTAAGGTACTTACAGGCAACATTTCGGCACTACTGATATTCACAGTCCTGTAGCTTGTTAGCCGCTTGCAGTCATATGAACTTTTAGGGTCCTGAATGTTTGCTAATAAAATCCCATAGGTACTTCCATTTCTGCTACTGGGCACACACTTTATGAGGGGAGAATCAGGCTTGCCCAACATCAGACCGGGGCATTTGTGATAAAATACCTAGCTGAAGTCATCTTTTGTCCCAAATTAGTTTCCTGAGCTTCATTCAGACTGTCTTTCAAATCCAAGTAAGCTAGTAGTTCTTAAGGCCATCAATCCTATAGATGATTTAGATGGTTTCAAAGATGCTCAGAAATAAAGAAAAACAATCTGAAAGAATCTAATGAACACACCTGGAATTTTTTATTAGGATGACTGTATTTAATCTGAAACCTCTTGAATGAATAATTCCAGACTGGTGTTAGAAACTCTCTTTGCAGTAAGAATAGTGTCTCTTAAATTGACACTTACAGGCCTGGATTAGAGCTCAGCTACATTTCTAAATCCAATTTCTTGTTATCTTTAAAGTGTGTGTTTGGAATTTTTCATGATTTTGTAATGAAGACTATTTTTTGTGCAGCATACGGAGTGATAATGTAAAAGCAGAAAAGATGAGAAGAGTTAGAAAGTAGTAAGTTGGAGTTCCAAAAAAAAATCCAGACTGATTTCTTTTGGCTGACAATGTTATGTGAAGATTTCAGAATTAAGAATAAATACAAAGCTTACTCTAAATTTCAGTGCACCCAACTTAACCTCTCAGAATTCTGCAAGCTTTGGGAAACATTTTAGACAGACAACCTATTATGAGAGTATAATTTTGGTTAAAACATGTCACTACTCTTACTTCAAGTTAATTAAGGAATGAGTTGCTCTGAGGTATAAATTTTCACAATAAAGTGTTTCACTTATATTCCACTCCACTGTGAGCATGAAACTTTGTACTATCATAGTTATAGTACAAAAACTGTGCACCTTTAACAGAAAAGTTAACTTTTGCTAGAAGGTTGTAACATCTCATTGTACATTAATTTACTGGCATCTTTTAAAAAAAGCAGCACAGCTTCTATCATATTTATTACTTCTTATGAATGACATGAAGAATGGCTTCTTCTGAATTAAAGAAAAACTTGGAGGTTGGTAATTTGATTACTCAGAGGATAGTTCAGTTTCTTTACTTAAAAGTGACCAAGGTTAAAATCATGATAAGCCAAGTTGTTATTCTACCCTGAGCTATCTTCTACTTTATAGCGATGTAATAAACCCTTTTTAGTTATTAGGTAGTTTAGGTTGAGAGATAAACTTTGTGTGAACTTTGTCTAGATTGCAGAAAAAAGATATCTTAAGCCTCCAAAAGATGTAAAAAGAGTCAGATATTGATTGTAATTAGAGTACTTATCTCTGTTTCTACTCCAGATTGTACAAGTGAATTAAACATCTCTATGTCTGCTTTCCCAGTGGAAGAATAGCCATGGGAGTATTCACTTCTGCGTAATTAATATTTGAAAAGTATAATACGTTTGGAATGTATTAAAATGACATTTTCTGAATATAGTTCTTTACCACAAGATTGCATTGCTAATTGTCTAAAAGCGTTTTGAACAGAGAAGTAATATTACAGATTATAGCTTGGTAGGTTAATCCATTTGTGCTTTTGCAATTTTAAAGTTACAATGAATGTTGGAAAAGTGAATACTCTAGGAAATGAATATTTATCAGGGAGGAAAGTAAAATCTGTTTCTTACATTACAGGCCAGCAAAACTTTGCATTTTATCTCGAATGTTAAAGTGCGTGTCTCAATCTTTATTGAAAGATTCAGTTTGCATTTAGTCATAAAATGTCAGTGAAATAATCTTTTGCCTTTGATCTGCCTTTTGGATTATAACTTAGAATTTCCCAGTGGTAATAACTTTGGTGGAGCACAAGGAGGAAACTTAAGCTAAGTTCTCCAGCAAATCAGAATTTAAAATGTCAAAAAATAAATATGCTTTGTGTTTAAATTTATAATTATCTTTCTGTTAAGGCTGAAGAGATGATTTTGACAGGAGGCTTGAAATCTCTCCTTCCCCATGTGCTAAGAAGAATAATTCGATGCAACACACTCAGTATTAGTAGTACGTGTGGAATGGCGGAGGGTAAGTAAACCTAACAGCTCTAAGTGCAAAAGTGACTCCATTTTAGATTCATAGCTATGTGGTTTCTCTTTTTGTTTGTGAAGGAATGTAGGAATATCAAAAGCACTGAAGTAAAACAGAAGAAAATGTTAAGTTGACTTATGTTCTTAAGTCCCTCGGGTGTTTTTGAAATTACATTGTAAGCACCTGACACTGTGTTCTTAAATCATAAAGCTACGTCAGAGAAAATATATCATCTTACCTGTGTAAAGTACATGGACTTTGTTTTCAAAGTTTGCAGTGCATCCCTCAGCTCCCCGTTATGTCAGTGAGAAATTACGGATGCAGAAAATATTTGAAAAATCTTTAACCAAATCTGACTTTTCTTGCATACATTATGATCACATTTGTAGGATGACATACTATGTTCTTCACAGAGACCTTGCTTTACTTAGTGCATTGGATACACTTTGGGGAAGAATTAGAGACATATAGTTACAGAAGTGGTTTTCTGCTTCATTTGTGGCAGAAGTTGGAAATTACTGACTCAGCAAGACGGGGAATTATAAGGGGGAGGGAAAAAATAGTTTTATACTCAGATAACTGAATGCATTCTGGAAAATTGATTTCTGTCTTGCCTCTCATAGCTGAACTTTTACAGGAGCAGAGAAGTCTGTGTCATTGTTCTGATCAACTTTAAAATGTAACTTAACATAACTAAAAATACTGTGGCAAGTAGCTGATCAACAAAGCTGTGTGTAGTAGCGTTACTATAACATAAGAACGTTAAGGGTCATTTTATAGAATCATAGTGAGTCTTGAAATTATGGTTTTCTTTTCCATCAGTACATAAGTTGAAAAATACTAATGGAAAACATGGTATAATGTTAATAATCTGCAGTTTGCCCCAACTGTATTTTTAAGTGCATGTATTGCTACAGTTTTAAATGTGTTAGGTTTAACATTTGAAAAAAGTATGGTTTACATACAAAACAAATTCAGACTTCAAGCCATGAGCATACAGCTCTGTTATGCAAAGGCTAAAAAAACTAGGGTAACTGGAATTTCTCAGAATCCTTAAAATCGTCTTATGTTGTTGGGTGATATACTACTAAAATAATTATTTCTTACTGCCCTCATTGTCATTCATCAAAGAAATTGAAAACTCTTTCTAAAATTCTCTGAATTGGGACTTGAGTGTGTTGAATTAATGCATGGGTTGATCAGCATGTCCAGCTTCACTAACATTGCTCGTGAATATATTCATAATGATGGATACATATGCAGGTATATATGTAAGCTGATATAGGAAGGGAAAAATATCTTTTCATCTGTAAAGAAAGTAAGGATAGTTATCAGGAGGAGCAATAAAGTTGTCAAAGGGTTCTAACGAAGCTTCCTGAATTTATAGAATACCTCAAAGTTACCTACAGATTCAGTCTGTCAGCTGTGACTAGTATTTTAAATTCACTGTTGTCTGAGTTGAATGCACTGACTAAAACCGTAATTTTAAGAATTTGTGAATATCACCAGCAAAATAGAAAATGATTGTGGATTTCACATGGATGGCAGGGTATGAAGTTGAGGGGTAACTGAATGTAGTATTTTATTCAGTGGTAAATTTAGTATGTTTATTTAACAAAAATGTATTTCTGTATTTAGCAAGAAACTGTTTCTAGTAATAAAATGAATTTTTGTGCTGAATACTCCCAGGAGAGCAGTTTGTGGGCACATTCAGTATGCAAATACATGCTTACTTCAGCCTTTGCTTTGCATTTTTCCATCAGGAATAGAATTTTATCTTTTGGTTTCTTTGTTAGCTTTGGTCAAGAGTAAGATTTGGCTGATTTTCTACAGCTTTTTAAGGCAGATCATAGATTTCAACTAAACGATTGCCTCTTGGATAACAGAATACCACAGTATTCAAGAAAGTGAGAGCTTCTATGCAGCCTCTTACTTGCCTGTCTGACACAGTAATAACTTTTTAAGACAGTATCACTACAGGAGTTAGGGACTGTTAATTGGCAGTTTTATACACCACAGACTAATTGTATTCCAAATTTTCTCTCTGTATTTGAACAGCTGGTATTTACATGCAGAAAAATTAAAATGACATTGATATTAACTACTACTGTTTAGAAAATAAATTTTTGCTAAATAAATGAATGTGAGCTTTCTTCATTGGTGCTCATTGCAAAAACGTTAATGTCTTTAGAAGCTATCGCATGGTAGTAGTCAAAAACCTTTTAAATCAAAGTTGATTCCAAGTGAAGAAAGTATAGCAGTTCTGGTCATTTCAGTTTTTTAAATTAGAAATAGTAGAAAAGACTGAGATTCAGTGTGACAGGCAGGAGTTTATTCCTGAGCTGTAATTACGTCTGTTAAATTGCAGCCCACAGTAAAATTTCATAGCCAACAAACTCTAAAGAATGGGCTGCATAACGTCAAGATACTAGGAGTTTACTGTTGGACTGGCCATGATTTATAGCTTGGTATTAACTGAAAAAAAAAGGTGAAATTGTGGTATGCAATAGCCTTTCTTTGGCTCTGTGCTAACATTTGCAAAGTAAAGCATTTTCCTATAGAATACTAATTTCCCAGGTTAGGTAATAAATTAAGTTTATATATAAATTCATAGAAGTGTTTATCAAAGTAATTGTGCTGTCTTCATATTCTAGTACTACCCATGTCTGCCAACTATTTTAGCTGTGAACAACTTCACATACAGAGTACATCTAGCTATGATTTTAAAAACATTTCAAAAAGCTGTTTAATTTAATTACGGAATTATGAATCAAAAATTTCCTTGAGGTAATTTTTTATAGACCATCTAAAGAAATCTATACAGAAAAGCTACTGTTTCACAAACAAAAAGCTGAATTATTAACCAGTCATTTCTACCTTCTACAATTTCAGGCTATAAACAGGCCAACGTCGTGATTTTGCACAAGTCCCTGGCTGATGACTTTGAGAAGTTTTGCCATGCAAATGATGGACCCCTGCCGCTGCTGTACAGAAGTAAACCAGGTGAATGGGCATGTCCTTCTCTCAGTAGTGATTCTGATATCAGGTAACTACAGACCAACTCTGCTTCTCAATGTTCTGAAGTGAATGCTGGTGGTGATTAGGAGGGTTTCAGGGAACAGCCTGCTCACACTGTTGTACATTTTGAACAAGTTTCTTTTCTTGGAGTTATACCTTTGAATGAAAGCTCTGCATGAGTATAACATCCTGATTGTCTTGTTCTTGAGAAACATGTTATGATAATTGTCAGTATTACAAGTGTTTTTCTCATGCAAAAGTGAAATTTTGTGTAATTTCTAAATACTTTGCGGTCTGAGCCAGCAGAGTTAAATAATAGGGTTTTACCTTAGTTTTATTTAATAGTAATGTAGGCATGGTGACCGCATGATATTTGTAGGGTCTCTGAAATTTGAAAGATGTGCTTTTGTAGTAAACACTAAAAGCAAGACTTAAAAGAGCTCCCTAATTTCTGAAGCCCAGAGACAAGATACATGTAAGGGACATTTATCTATAAAACCTAAAAAATACCAAACTCTAATGCGTTCTGTTTACTGGCTTGTTTTTGTGCAGAATAAGGTGTTCTGGGGTTTTTGCATGTGTTTGTTTCATTGTACTCAGAAAGAAAATAAATGGATAAAGTAGGCTGTATTTTGTGGTTTGGTACTGGGTTAATGTCAATTCAAACTATTCACCTAGATTTCAAAAAATATGATAAAGCTGTGATAACTTCTTATTTCACTAGAACTGACTGCCTGCAGTACAGAATATATGAGCACGGAACTTATACTGGATCACTGAAAAGCCTAAAGGAGTATTCTGAACAACTTAAGGACATGGTGACTTTTTATTTAGGCTGCAGCTTCTCTTTTGAAAAAGCAGTCCAAAATGCTGGCATTCCCATAAGAAATGTTGAGCAAAAATGTAATGTAAGCATGTATAAGGTAAGTATACGCACACACACACACAGTCTTTGTTGTAACTTTGCCTTTGAGCATTTGTCCATACACACATTATGTGCATATACCTATTGCTCAAAATCAGATCTTTTTTCCCTACCTGCATAGTAACTTTAGGCATGTGCTAGTACTGAGTGCACAAAAATAGAGGGTAAAATATGCCCAGCCTCAGTTCAGTGCTTTTCTCAACTTCCTGCAAGGCCGATCTGCTTTTTTATTCATTTATGGCGACAAAGTTTTTCCCTGTGTGCTGTGGCAGCCATTTCATTTGGATTCTGTTCTGGTTTGCCTTCCCTATTTCAACCAATGACCCGTGCACTATTCTGACCATGCCTTTATACACATCCTGCTCTCCATACCAGCTCCAGCTTACAGTAGGATTATTCCTTTTAGGAGCCATGACAGTAGCAGTTTCTTCTGCACATACGATAGCCACATTTTGGATTTTTTCTGTGACAGTAGAGCATTTAAACTGCGTATTTGCTATGAACCCAGACCTCTGGGACAGAAGATGTTCCCAAAAACTTGAGGCATCTACCGTAGAACTGAAAATTGTAACTGTGCTCAGAAAGTTTATAGTGCAGATTTTAATGTTGGCAGAAGTCCTAGAATAATTCTGGCTCCAGTAGGTAGACCCTTTAATATTAAGAACACTTAAATACACATCTGCATGCCTTTTTCATATAGTCCGTATGTGTTCTACTAGACAAAGGTTATTGTTGTTTTCAGTGTTATCATTTCACAATCTTTTTGCTATACTCCTGGTCAAAATGAAGGCACAAATCTTTCTCATACATGAGTCCTTCTACCAAGCTTAAAGAAAAAAACATATGACTATGTATCTGCTTATAACGTTTCAGAATTAGGAAAATTTCATAGTTTATAGCACATCAATACTGTGAAGAACTGTACAGGGTGTTTCTCCAGTGACAGGTATAATGATTTTTATTATAAAGATGTTAATGAGCATTTTCTGAACAGCTCTAGCTGTCTACATATCTGTTTATGTTCAAATGCAACTTAGATATCAGACATTTTGTTCTAAAAAACTGGACTGCTTTATTTCTGAATAGAAAAGGTGCTTCAGCCTCCCAGTCAGTGATGATGGTGAATTCCATAGAACCTTTCTAGAGCTACAAAAGATTAAGATTTTGTATGTGTGGAACTGGCATACTGCTTCTGTAGAAGTGGGTACTGCCAGCAGCAGGAGTTCCTGACCCTTGCATCTTACAGAACACTGTAGCTCCCCTGAATTCAAATACAGAGAATAGATTCAGACCAAGTACATTTGTTGCTGCGTGATACTTTTTATTAGCTTTTTCCCTGTCTGTATAGGGAGCGCACAGTTATTTTCTGACAACATTCAGAATATACTGAGCTCAACACACTGTGTGCTGTATCTACTGAAGCAAGAAATGCATGATGTTGAAAATTTTAGTGATCGATACAAAGAAGCTCAAGGATGGAATATTTCACTCCTGCACTGCTGGATCTTACAGGAAAAAAAAAATTATGGGATGCTAAGAAATTTTCTTTTTTGAAAGGATTTAAAATGAATGTTAGCATGCAGCCTTTCTAAACTAAGTACAGCACCAAGTTTTAGATTTATTTCTTCTAATACTCTGGAAGTATTATTCAGTATTCCTGCTCACATCTTGGATTCTTTTAAACTGCCAGACAGCCGTGCCTTGCTACAGTGTTTCTCCTTTTTGCTGCAACTTAGTAGTCACAATGAGACCTGTTCCTGCAAGCAAGTTGGAAGCAGCTGTGCTAGCGACATCAGGATTAAAAGAAGCCCATGGAGCCCCAATTCACATGGGTGACCCTGGTCAGTGCTTTTCATGTTTCACTCTGCCTGCGCTTTACTGTATGTAAAAATGGAGGGGGGAAGTGGGAGGACTGAAATACCTGCAGCAGTAAATTTATTAAGTTTTAATCCTTTCTAATGGTCACAAACCTGAATTTTAAAAAAAAAAAAAAAAGGCAAAAAGAAAAAAGAAGGTTTTGAATGAGCTGAACACAGATAAAAGATAGCTGTCTGATGTAGATAAATTAAGTTATATGGCAGGGGTGTTTTGCTAAAGAGTGTAATCACATTTTTCTAAAATATATGCAGTTTCATTTATATGTGAATACTTTCTTGCTGTCAGAGATTCCAGTGACAGGGTAGCAATGATTGACAGCATGGGGAGAAGTATGTGTGGATGCATTTTGTGTCTTAGCGGATGACTGTGAAAGTAAATACTGCATTATTTTTAAAAATACTGAAATAGGATACATTGAGCACAACACTTAAGACAGAATAAATAGAAGTATGACAATAAAATATATTTTTTAAGAAATCCAGCTCAAACAAGTATAGGCCTATTCTTTGCAAGGGAAAGCTGAAAAAAAAGGATAAAACAAGAGGCTGTTTGGAAAAAACCAAAACCAAACCAAACACCTGTAAGATGAAGATAGATTACAATAAAAAAAAAGTTCCCCTCTGTCAATCAGTAGACTCATGGGGCTGCATACACAGAAGGATCACATTGCAGAGCATGGAAGGAGAGGTCATTGGTAACAGTATTCCCCAGTAATATATTTAGTCTGAGTGCTTAAATCTGAGGAACTAGTAATAAGTTCCTTATTGAGTAGAGCAACAAGATGATTGGGCAAGTAAGAGTTTCCACTATTTATTTATTTTTAACAGAAAAGAGTAAATTATTATATATACAGATCATATAAATTTATTCCAGAAAAGACAGTGGTGTATTAAAGCGTCTGAAGAATTTAAAACCAAGGGAAGAGAGCAAGTGCTTAGAATGACCCAGAATGTTACCAGTAGGTGTTAGAATAAAGTAAAAGACAATTTAGTGAAAGCTGGGTAAGAGTGAGATAGAATCATAGAATCATAGAAT